GAAGAAAATGGCCAAATCATCAATAAATTTTATTTTGGGACTTATTCGCAAGTTAGGGTAAAATAATGAGACTTTAGTGAAACGTGTAAGTAATAAAACCGGTAAACCGGAAAAAAAGGGTCAAATCGTCATTTTTACCGGTAATTCATGCTTTTTCGTAAATAAATTTTACTTTGGGACTATTTCGTAAATTAAGGTAAAATTTTAGGGTTTTTCTGGAGATTTCTCTAAAACCGAAAACAAAAGCTCAAGATGTTTTTTTTTTATATTTTATTTTTTTTTTATTTTTTTTATATCCTTCTAAACTTTAAATATTAGGTCAATGTTCTTATAAATTGAAATTTACGTATATGTCATTTTAAAACTATAATATTTACATGTATATCCAAATTTATATTTTAATTAAAATTAAATTAACATAATATTAAAAATCTATTTAAAATTCAAAATTATATATGATGTTCATAAAGTACCCTTTCTAAATAAAAGATTAAATTTAAACGTTTTAATATTAAGGATTAAACAAATAACAGGACACCAGCTTCGACACCAGTTCTTATCGTTGATATAGCCACTGTTTTTGAAGGTTTCACAAACTACGTGTCACAGTAATGGGACTTGAGGTTTTATTTAGTGAGGATAATAATATGTGTAGTTGTTGCCTTGTTGGGTGTGTAGCTCATTTTTCCTATTGGATACGATGATTTGCTTTTTAGTTGTTTTCACTTTTCACTGCTCCTATCAAAAAGAAAGAAACAAATACATAAAAATGGTTAAAATCAAAAGTTGAAAATCAAATATGAGTACAAAAACAACCAAAGAAATACATAATCGTTATACTTTTGAAAAGAAAAGACTCTTCCTATTGTAGGATAATAATAATCATATAATCTTTTATGATGTTATTTGTGCATATTTACGTTGAGACAAAACATCGTCATGAATCGAAGTTGAAAAGTTTAATTAGTTGTTTAACGTTTTTTTTTGAAAGAGAGTTGTTTAACGAGTTAGTTTTAATTAAAATGGTTTACATTTAATCTTTCATTTAGAAATGATATGTCAGTAACATCATATATAATTTTGAATTTTAGATAAGTTTTTTAATATTATATTAGTTTAATTTTAATTAAAATATAAGTTTGGATATATATGTAAATATTATAGTTTTAGAATGATGTATACTAAATTTTAGAGTAAATTACATGAATGGTCCCTATGATTTTGGGTAATTTGCGCACTTGGTCCCTAACTTATTTTTTTAATTCGGAAAGTCCCTACTGTTTGTTTTTGTTATGCGCTTGGTCCCTATTGTTTGTTTTTGTTACGCGTTTGGTCCCTGTCTTACCTAAAAAAACTATTATTTAAACAGGGAAAATTGTAGAGTAGGTAAGGTAAGGTGAGAAGGGTGGGGTTGGGAGTGTGTTTATTTAAATAAATTAAAAAATCAAGGGAAAAATAGTTTTTTTAGATAAGGCAGGGACCAAACGTGTAACAAAAACAAACAGTAGGGACCTTTCGAGTTAAAAAAATAAGTTAGGGACCAAACGCGCAAATTACCCTAAACCATAGGGACCATTCGTGTAATTTACTCTAAATTTAAAATTTATAAAAACATTGACGTAATATTTAAAGTTTAGAAGGATTTTGAATGAATTTTTTTTTTTTTTTTTAAAATCAAAGTGCACCACAGTTTTGATTTTAAAATCAAATCTATGATCATAAATTGGTCGAATTCTTCAATTCACCATTCTAGTTAAGCAACCAAGTCCAATTGGAAAGTTATCAACAATGAAACTTCTTGTTAAATTCAAATCATTTAAAAGGAAAATCCCAAAATACAATCAACATCTCTTTTTTGTGGGCCTTTTACTATTTTGCGGTTAAAAAAAATAAAAATAAATAAAAACAGAAAGCAACCAGGTGCATCAACGCATTCGGGTGTTCAAGAAGTAAATACAAAAAAACAATCATGTGTTCTTTCAGGTGGAAGATTGAACACTTGTGCTTCAATTTCTCAACAACCAAGATATAACTCTGACATTTTTTTTAAGAAATCCGTGGAAAAATCAGCCAACCGTCTCATGGAAGGGCCTTAGACTAAAGGGAGTGACTCGCCACCCTCCCTCGCTAAAGCCTTGTTACCGCTCCTTATCCATGTGCTAAGTTGGGTTGCTAAGAAAGGCTCGTTAGTTGCCTAGCGAGAGGAAAGAGAAGATATGTGGTCCCCATTTGAGTATTTCAGCTTCAAATGTTTGTAATTTTAGCTTTAGCAACTTGTACCCTTTTCATAATTTATTTTATTTAAATAGTTAAATAAAAATATATTTGATTTAATATTTACCTCCTAAACACATCACCATTCCATATCATCGTATTATGCTTATGTGTCCATAAAAATATGAGATGACAATGTTTTAACACATGTTACCAAATACTACCACTCCCTCCAGCCTTATAAAAACATTTTTGGCATAGTCTGTGGTTTAGGTTCATTTATGCACTCAACTCAAAAAGGGTTATTTACGTCATAACACATTAAAGTTTTAGCGTTGGTTTTAAATGACCATTAAACCTTTTATTTTACCCGTGAGACCATTAAACTCGAATTTTACCTGTTTAAAATACCATTTTATTTAAAGTTATCAGGTTTTCGAGTTGCATTGATGATGTGTCAATTGACTTCTGATAGTCAAAGGTCTCCAAAGCCACGTGTACGTATCCACGTGGACTTCTTAACTCATATTTCTATGAGGTTAATTGTCAACTCTTTTAAAATTTAAAGGGTTAAATTGAAAATACCACAAAAATATTTTGAAGAGGATTACACCCACCGTCACACACATCCGCCGAGTGGTGTGGACAAATCGCCGGAAGGCTATTGATTTAACTTCGAAGTTCTATTGGAAATCTGGTTTCGAAAGAGAATTAAAAGCTCGTTATATCAGGAATATAGATGTAATTTCAATTTCGATGCTTGTGGGTAGACCTATGAATAGTTTTAGAGTCTGTGAAAAATCATCTACAGTGGCAAAAATGGATTTGAGTTCGCTGGATGGAGAATTTAATTCCGACCAAATCAACTATACACCGCCAAAAATCGATTGGCGTATTGAAAACCAGATAACAATTTTCTCCTTCCATGTATCAAGTCTTAAGACGACGTTTCCGATTCTCCGGTATGAATGTTTCATGGGATTCTACAGAGGCTTCGAGACTTCATTGATCGGAACAATTCTAGCTCGAGTGACATACATGATGACACTATAAGTCACCAAGAGTAATGTCGGAATGAGTATTATCCAATTAGGGTTTCTAGAGCCCACCACCGCCGACATTCACAATACTCCCCCTTCTTTAGTGGGGTGTTGTGTCCAAAACCTTGAAAATCTCATCACCATAGCCAAACGTTGGAGCTGAAGAATGTTCTGCATCATGTCAAGCTGAACAAGTCCGATGAGATTACCAAACCCATTTGGGGATCTCAACGGCCAATGAATTCATGGAGATAGAGAGTAGTTTCAAAGATTGGATTTCGAAAAGGGGATTCAAGATATTGGAAAACACTCGAACCAGGTCAACAAACAAAGGAACAACGACGCCTAAGGGGGTGTTTGGATTAGCTTATTAGCTTATTGCTTATTAGCTTATTTGTGGTGGGAATAAGCAATAAGCAGGGGGGATGCTTATTAAAATTAGCTTATTTAGCTTATTCCTAACACAATAAGCTGATTTTTAAGGATTTTATCCAAACACTTAAACTTAGCTTATTGTGGTGGGAATAAACAATAAGCAATAAACACTCTTTTTTTTTCATATCCAAACACCCCCTAAGTGGAGGTCAGTGATGATTTTTGATTTGTTTATGGTTCTGAATTAGAATCGAAAAAGACCTGATTTGAATCGATTCAAATCTTCGCACAACACCCATGACGATTTCCGGGCAGGAGAACATCGGAAGATGACGAAGATTTGAATCGATGATGTCGTTGTTGTCTTTACAGGAAGATGAAGAAGATAAAGATCACAGTCTCGATTATTCCAACAATCACTTAAAAAATTCTGAAGGGTTACATGGAATTGATTGAAGTCAAAGGTCAATGTCCATGTCATCATAATAAACGGGAGACCGCTTCACAAGATACAAAATGGTGTAAACAACTTGTAATTTTCGACTTTGATGGTGTAAAAGGTTTAAAATAAAGTTAAGGGACCATTTAAAGCCAAACGTAACACTTTAATGTGTTGTCATGTCAATAAATAGAGCCTTAAAAGTCATTCTTAATAAATAAAGAACTTTTTTGCCACATGGCATGCTCTCCTTCAATTTGACAAATGTCAATTTGTGGTAATTTTGAATTAATTTTTTTTCCACATGTCATTTTATGGGTTTTCCTATTTTATTAAAATTTATATAATATTTTAATGTAATAATTGCAATAAATATAGTAATAAATGGATATCAATTTCATTAACTAACTTACCTTCTAATTTCAAAATTTTTAAATTAGAGTTTATTAGTTTTTTTTGTTTATTTATTTAAATTATTTGTTTAAATTTAAAAGATAAAAAACATTTTAATTTTAATCATTCATTATTTTTCTTATTTTCTTATAAATTCAAAGTTCTCAATTATTTAGACCTTCATATTTAACTTTTTTTTTTTAAATTAACTAATGTAATACATGGGTCTCACAACTAGTATATAATCAATTATGTTATGTAAAAATAATTAAATTAAACAACCAACATATGTAAATGGTATGTAAATTTCACTAAATCAAATCACATGCCTTGCATGCAGCCGAAATAGCATTCCAGATTTCATGATTTCGTTCACAAGTCACAATTGATCAAACCGATACAAAATGATTCTTGATTTAACGTTTCAGATTGTTTTCTTAAAGAAGTTGCACGATACTATTTAACATAAACTAAATCAAAAGACAAACCACCTTAGAAGATACCAGAGTTTAATGGTGATGATTTGGGAACTAAAATTCTCACAAGCATATAGACTTGAGATCTTTCATCATGCGTTCAACCACATCAACAGATGCACCTTGGTTGTGCTCGACCCACTTGGTCGTGTCAGCAATGGCATCCTCCATTTTCCTCAATCCACTGCCTTTCCTCATATTTTTTATCTTATTCTTCATGTTGTATATGCAATCCTCCAATGCATTGAATGCATCTGCTTTCTTCTTGAATTCTTGGTCTTCCTGTTTATACTTGTCAGCATCTTCTATCATCCTCTCAATCTCATCCTTGGAGAGTCTTCCATTTACGTTGGTGATTGTGAGTTTTTCTGTCTTACCAGTTGATAATATCTCCGATGTAACTGTCAGAATTCCATTGGTATCTATTTCAAAGTAGTGCTCGAGTTCTGCAACTCCTTTTGGAGCCGGTGGTATTCCAGAAATTGTGAAAGTCCCCAACAAATGGTTATCTGTAGATCTGGTTCGTTCACCTTGATACACATTAACATTTACACAAGTTTGGTAGTCCCGAATTGTACTATATATTTTAGATTTTTTGGTAGGTATTGGAGTGTTCCGTGGGATCACAACACTAAATACTTCTCCTATTACTCCTACACCAAAGGACAAGGGAGTGACATCCAATAACAACAAATCCTGACAGCAAGTTTTAAGATTCTAGATTTTCAGGTTTTTAGATTTTTTCTAATTTCAAATTCGGTTTTTAGGTTTCATTTTTTTATTCATATTTGGATGAATGTTTAATAATTATAGAAATGACACTTTACAACTTACTATAATAAAAGCACAAATCGTCATAACATGGCCCATGTTCATACACATCTACTTCAAGATGAGGCGTACCACTCCGATAGAGTCTTAATTATCCCTTCTCGTAACACTATACATTAATTTAACATCACCAACTACTACAGATTCAATATTAAAGTTCAAAATCTCCATTAGAGAGCACATAAAATTTTGTTGATTGTTGATTGAGTGAAACCTGAGTCAAAATTTATGACTGAGTCAGCCCCCTGAATGAAATTTGGCTGTTTGATTATGCATAATGAAATTTGGCTGTTTAATTATGCATCGACTATGTCGAATGATAAAAGTGATCATATTACCCTTTTCTTCTATTACAACAATGTAGTTTGAAAAATCTATAAAGACTAAACTGTATAAATGGTCCCTGTGGTTTGCTCAAAATTGTCACTTTGGTCCAAAAAGGTTTCAACTAGCACCACAAGTCCAAAGTTTTCATTTTGTTGCGAGTTTGGTCCAAAATTTTCAAAACTTCTTTTAAAGACAGATATGCCCTTGATATTTTCTTTTTTTTTTTCTCTTTATTTAATTACTCTATAAATTTTCTATTATGTTTTTTTAATTTTTTATTTAAAGAAATTGAAAAAAGAATACAAGCTCTCTCTCTCATGTTGTTCTTCTTGAGAAAATAATCTTTTCCAGTCGAAACTCTGTCCGCGTAAAGCCCGGTTTTCATCAGAAACTCACAGTTTTTTCAAGAAAAATCCTTTCTAGAAACGAAACGCTGCCCAAATCACCACTTATCAAGTGAGTTCATACCCCTGCATTTTTACTATTTTTCACTGTTTTAGGCAAGGTTGTAGAACTCGTTACTCGGTACCTGTTCGGCCGACTGCCGAGTAGCGAGTACCCGGGAGTACTCGGGGAGTACTCGGATTCGGTAATTCATGTAGAAATATTTTTAGGGAAATTATATATGTCAAAATCATAAGTTAAAATCATAAGTTGATTGAAATATATAACAAAATTAGATATATGTGAATACACAAAAGCTAAAAAACACAAAATGGTCTCACTTCGTGAATAATTACAGAAAATTTAAGATATATATATTTAGTAATAATCACATGTGTGTGTTAAATAATAAATCGTTAAGTATATTATACATATTAATCACCGAGTTGAACATGTTTTACAACACTACTAAGTTTAGTAAGTGGCTGATCCGGGAGTACTCGGGATTTTGTAACTCGCCTCGGTAAGGGGCCGAGTAGCGAGTACTCGGAGGAGTAATCGGCCAACTCGGCGAGTTTTACAACACTGGTTTTAGGGGGGGGGGGGGGATACAAGTCTAACACAAGAATATTGTGTTTACAATCAAATGTTTTTTAAATATTTTCTAAAACGACTTTAAATTACTGAAACTCCTTTAAATATTGTCAAACTCTTTCAAATGTTTTAAAAATTCTTTTAAACTTATATTTTGCCAAAAATCATATATATATATATATATATATATATATATATATATATATATATATAAAAGATTTAAAGGGCTTAGGACTAATAATTCGCTTTATTTCTTTTTCGTTGTTTGGATGTGGGCTTAGGGTAAAGTTATTTGTCCGAATGTCGTTTCAGTTTTAATATTATATATATATATATATATATATATATATATATATATATATATATATATATATATATATATATATGAATATAAAAGTTATTTCAATCAAATTCATTACCTTTGTAACATGCCGAGCACAGGGGGTAATTTCATGAATATTACATATCAAGCAAAACACAAATATAAATTATAATAGGTATAATTTATGAAACTCTCACACAATTTTCACAAGTCAAGTATACAGTGTTTAACTATATATATACTCTCGTACAAAGTTCTTTGCATATACTTTACATTTTAAGTATATTAAAAATACATCGTACCGGGTTTGCATTAATGGTGTACAAATACAATGTACCGGGTTATTGCACGAACGGGGTATAAATACATCGTACCGGGTTTGCATTAATGGGGTATAAATTCAATGTACCGGGTTATTGCACGAACGGGGTACAAATACATCGTACCAGGTTTGTATTTAATGGGGTACAAATACAACGTACCGGATTATGCACGAACGAGGTACAAATACAACATACCGGTTTAAAACAAAGAAAAACATAACATTATTGAAAACAATTCTTTTATTGTTTTATTGTGAACTAAAACTATGTACACTAATACATAGTACAACAATAACACTTATACAGTTTGGTTTTATGGCATTAAAACTACTTATCAGTTAAAATAAAAAATATTGTATTTTCTGGAACCGTAATCATGCTCACTATTTCAAGGAACAGAAAACAAGCTTTTAAACATAAATACTTATGCACTCACCAACTTAAATGTTGATACTCTTTTTCAAAATACTTGTATTCTCAGGAAATCAGTAGACAGGTACATCCCCTGGATCTTGAGAAGACGGAGCAGTATAGAGTCACGTCTTGTATCTTTTGTTATATAATTTTTGATGTCATATATACAATGACTTTAATACATATGTAAAACTTATACTTTATTAATGCAATGGTTGTTGTACTTTGGTTACTATGATGCATGTGTTGTGATACTTAACATGAAGTCATCCACCCCCGGACATTTCCGTCGCTCCGGTTTGGGGGTGTGACACCTATGATTGTGAGAACAAGATTTCTGAATTCGACAAAGTCCCCAATGATTCTTATGCTTATGGGATTGTAAAAATTGATGCATGTTTAGCTAGAGGCTTGGTAAAAAATTCGGTTATAGGGATGGGATTAAGGCCCACTTGATATCTCTATGGGTGAGATACCTAATTCATTTCTAATATAATGTTAGAAGTTGAATTCAATGTGCAAAGCTTACTTATGGAGCTTGAAGCACATTTTTTTTACTACATCCCAAGGTATGTGATTATAATGTAACACCCAGAATCCAGAAGGCTAATTAAGGAAAGAAAAGCTTCAACCAGGAGGGCAACTCGTCGAGTTCAAAGGTGAGAACTTGACGAGTAGGAATATTGGGTACACGGGAATGTAAAGACCAACTCGACGAGTTGGGGAGGACCAACCCGACGAGTTGGACGGGGTTTGGGAAACCCTAGATCCGGGATTTTGCACCCTATTTAAACACTTTATGCCTTAGGGTTTGGTCTCATTTCCAGCCTCCATTATCCTAACCCTAGATCTCGAAACCTTCATGCTATTGTGAGTGATTGTGAGCCATTTTGAGTGTTCTTATGAGTGCTTGAAGTTCTTAGAAGGAAGGAAAGTTTGAAGGAACAAGGAAGAGTTGCAAGATCCAGAAACCTCACTCCATTTTTGTCACTTTCTGTTAATCAAGTCTCAAACTTGCCAAGTAGTTGAGTATATCTCCTTAGCACTTTTATTTGGTTTTTTTGGTCCAAATGATATGGCTCTTGGGATTTGGACGTCCCAAGTGAAGAACACTTCAGATCTAGTGTCTAGAGGGACTCTCATGGCATAAAGGTGCCAACTTTATGGCCATTGAAGTCCCAAGCAACCTCTAAGCTTCTATTTTGGCCTTTTTAGCTCCAAATGGCCATGCATGTGGATAAAGCTTGAAGCTTTACGTGATCTTCTTGTCCCTAGAGTCTAGATCTATGGTTTGGAGGCATTAGACTCGCTTGGAAGGGACTGAATGAGTTAAGACTAGGATCACTCGACGAGTTGCTTATCCAACTCGGCGATTTGGGTCGTGATCCCCCAACCTTTCTGGTCACTGAGCAAACTCGGCGAGTTGTAGAGATGACTCGGCGAGTTGGCTAGGGTTTTCTCAGGTTTTTGAAGACTGAAGGAACTCGATGAGTTCAAGGATGGACTCGACGAGTTGATTTGAAAAGTCTCGATTCTGTTGTTAAGGAAGAACTCGACGAGTTCGTGGAAGAACTCGACGAGTTGGATCGCGAAATCACAATTTTGTGATTCATAGAACTTGACAAGTTGAAGGGGTAACTCGACGAGTTGAGTCAACTCGAAGCGTTGACTTTGACTTGATTTGGATGTTGACTTTGACCTTGACTTGACCTTGTCTAAGGTTGACCGTGGAGGGTTTTGAAGTATGGAATGGGTTCTAAAGGGTTGTTCCATTTAGGGGTTGAGCCCAATTTGGAAAATTGGGCCATTGATGGGATTTTACGGATTTATGATTTAGGATTGGGCCTCTAGTGTGAGCCTTGTTGGACCAGGGGTGAAACGGTCATTTCACCCCAAGTAATGATTATAGATTACGGTGTGGGACCTATTTATTAATTGGGTGATATTTGGCATGGATAGCTTAAGGAGTCATCCGAGTAGCCACTAGATATTTCTTACCGTGAGATTCAGCATCGAGGTGAGTCTCATCATTGTTTGTATGGGTCGAAGGCACCAATGCTGGCCCATTTGGTTTACGTATGGTAGGAAGACCCGGGGGTTAGCCCTAGGCATTACGTATGAAAGACTAGGAGGTGGCTCCTGGCATAGTGTATGCAAATTAGCTAAGTAGATTAGATTGTATGCTAGTTTTCTTTGTGATTGCTTGCATGGAAGACCCGAAGGTGGCTCCTGGCACTTGTCTGTAAGACCCAGGGGGTGGCCCCTGGCTTGGCAAGAAAGACCATGTGGCGGCCCGTGGCATAACGAAAAGACTATGTGCGACACATAGTGTCTTATATGATTATGATTGTTATGTATGGCTCACGGTTATGTATCACATGTACGGATCAGTGGATATGTATGGTATGTGGTATTTGGGGAACTCACTAAGATTCGTGCTTACGATTTTCAGTTTTGGTTTCAGGTACCTCCAGTCTTCAGATAAAGGAGCTCGGGACGATCGCAGCGCATACACCTATGTTTTTCAGCAATATGTGATTTCTGGGAATGAACTCTGATAAATGTTTTATTTAAAATGTTTTTCAATGTGTGAATAAAGTTACAATAGCGTTTTAGTTATATTAAAAATGAAATTTTTGGTCATGAATTTTGGGATGTTACATATAACCTGTATT